TTTAACACCATGTTAAAATTAGCATAAATCCAACAATTGTTTCCCACAAAGTGCACAATTTATTGCCAATAATTACTGCAAATGGTGCATGTGATTAATTATAAGAGACTTGCCTTAAAATTCTTAATCACTTCATCTCACCCTACCTATTTGAATCCAGCATTTTGCTATAGATCATACATATTCTTTCCTTCAGACATGCAGGTTTTGAGGATTTCAACTGCACTCTCTAGTTACTATTTATCCATTTTTCTCAAAAAAAAATCAAAGACCAGCTTTCCCCTGCCTACTCCTCACACTGAAGTTCACACTCAACATTTTGTAGTTATTAAGAGAACTGAAATGCAAGCAAGCTCTTGCTAACCATAAGGGCCTGTGTATAGCTCATTTATTTATGGAATATTGATCAAGACTGGAGAATCCCATTTAATAACAGAGATATGCCCCAGCAAATGTGCATTCTCTTTCCTTTGTTCAAATAAAATTTGGTTTCTAAAGGAAACCCTTCAGTGAAAGTTTTGATAGTGAGTATAATTGTGCTCTGATCTATCAGTTTTGTAAATTAATTTTATTAAGGCAAAACAACCAGTATAATAAAACGATGCCAAATAAATTCAAATTGCTTTAAATTCTAAGGATAGGAACAATATCTTCCTCACAATCCATCATATATTCAGTTTATAGCTTAGAGTATGCCATCAATTCATGTTTGTAGAATACTAATAAAATAAAGTTTTCAAGATTATCCATGAAAAACTAACATACAGGCAGCAGATTATAAAAGTGTAGATGTTGTCCAATCATATTTTGACATTACCTATAACCCCTTGGCACATGCTAAACATGTAGAAAATACTAAGTTGATTTTTCTATCCATAAACTTGTAAAACTAATAAGTGATTTTAGTATGTCAAGAGACATTTGCCATTAATAAAATACTTCACTAACTATACTGATCTCATATCCTTTTAGAAACAAATCCTAGTTTTAAAACCTAGATTTACATCTGACTTTTTAAGAATGCACTTATCCCAAGGCAAAGTTATGGGCAAGGGAGAAATACTCAGATGCAAGAAACCACTGAGCTTTAGCATAAAACAGCAAGTGAGAAGTTCTTCCACAAGGCAATATTTCATCTCTCCAGTTCTAAATCAGACTGTGAGCAAAATAATCAAATGACAAATGCTACTCTAGATGCACCAGGAAATATTACTGTTTTGTTTGATATGATAAATGAAACAAATTATAACAATTTCATAATGTTGAAGGTAGAGAGGCAAGGTTTAGATCTCCATGGGTGGACACGTAATAAATCATTCCTTTGAAAAGATAATTGCTGGACCACTAGAAAGAAGGGGGAAAAAAAAACTTTGAGGGCAATTATTTGAAAGCTCCTCAAATTAACTTGTACACAGTTGGTCCTTTGTTACAGCGCACACATTAGAGCATTAGCTCACTTTGTTGAAGGAAACAATGTAATTCTAGTTATTAATCACTTTCATTTTAAAAATTCTTTGTAAACTGAGAAGACACTAGACTGTAAGCCCAGTGTGAAACTCACAAGTAATTGGATGCTTAATGGGTTCCTTTTGAAAATTTTGTTAGGGATAACAAAATCAAATAGCTTCAAGGCTCTAGGGAAACTAAGGGGTACATACGTAATGTGAGAAAGTTCTATTTCATTTTATCAACCAATAATATCACAAAGGGTGTGAAATTAAGCCCTTTTCGAAAAAGCAATTTTAATAGATTAGGCTGAATGAAATCATAGTATTTTTATGAGTCAAACTTCTCTGTAGTGTAATTTAGCAGGACCTTCTTAAGGCCCATGGGATAGAATTTTCTGTGACACTTCACTTCAGAATCCTTGCCAAGAAGTGTAACACTGCTTTGCAAACATCCTCTAGAGACCAGATTAGCCATGCTTTGATGTTACCAACTATCAGTGGGAATAATCAGGTGGAACCATCTGATATGCTCAGCATGAGGAGACTTGCTAAAGTCTCTGTTGGCCATACCAACAGAGGAAAATGCAAAAATCTGCATTATTTTAAAAGAAGTATTTTTTTAAAAAATTTCTTAACTAACATAAGAAGTGATTACTTGCAAATTTCCATTTCTAAGTGATACATTCATAAATAAGTGAACCTTGGAACTGGCCAGTAGGAGAAATATATCGAAGAATCATCTTTTTAAAAAATTAAAACCAAATTAATATTAACTGCTTTGACTTCTACTAGCTCTCACAACATCAATTGCTCTATCTTTTGTACTAATTGCCTACTATCTACCTTAGTAATATCTTACAAACATATATAAAACAGATAAAGGTTGCTAAGCAACTCAGTGAGACCTGTCTCTAAGTAAAATACAAAATAGGGCTGGGGATGTGGCTCAGGAGTGGAGTGCCCCGAGTTCAATCCCTAGTACTTCCCCCCCACCCCCACCCCCATGTCTTGAGAGTATAATCCTAATTATCTGTGTGACTGTTATTTACTCTTTCTCTGTCTCAGTTTCCAACTGGCGTTGAGAATGCCCTAAAGCCACAGGATCATTCCAAAGATTCAAGGAAGTGCATAATCATATGATCGAACACATGGTAAGTGAGCCACAAACGTCAGTTCCCTTTCCCTATAATAGAAAAAGACAGAGGCTAGCTTCTGTTCTGGCTTCGGTCTACCTTAGACCCCTATGCTGAGTACTTATTATCTGCGTCTGTACAAGCTACTTCACCTCTCTGGGTCTTACTTAGCATACTATGTAAACAAACAATTTCAAAGTAATGTAGGAGGAGATCCTGATGCTGTGGGGGGATTGATTCACATGGCAATTATCAGTGAAGATGTAGCATGGAGTCTAAGTAGGAGAGCAAACCCCACGCCTAGATCAGGATCTACTTGAAAACAGAGGTTTATGTTTTTTTGTGAAGAGCTGAGTAGCCAGCCATGAGTTGAAGATGTGTATTACAATTCCTAGAGCAATCCCTTGAAAATAATGCTAAATGATATTTTAAAAGCCCATAGATACATTTAAATGAAATTCTAAAAAAGAGTCAAACAATGCAAAAGAAGGCAAGAAAACGTAAACAGGAACAAGAAAAAGTCCTGAGGAAACAGAGATTTTAGGTCAACCTATATCCAACCTTACAAATACTTATGCTATATTTTAATGCAACAAACACCTCAATTTTAGATAAATATCAGAATGTATTTAAAAAAAAGCTAGACCCAAGTATATATTGTCCACAAGAGAATTACTATACATGGAAAAATGTACATTGAAACTTTCCAGATAGGAAAGGAGAAAAATCCATCCCCTGATGATAGTAGATTTTAACACTCTCTCAACAACTAATAAATAAGAACGTTTTCACAAATATTTAGATATTTAGCATACATCCCTAAATAACCTAAGGGGCAAAAAAGAACTCAAAATACATTTTAGCTTAACTTAAACAAAATAGGAATACAACACAGGATTGAGGGATACCATTACTGTCAGAAGCCAGGATGATAAGAATTTATGCGTTAAATGAACGTACTACAAAGGAAGAACTGCTGACAACAGTGATCCACTATGAAGAAATCAGGAAGCAGCTGCAAACCAAACAGAAAGGAGGAGAGAAACGAAAGCCAAGAGCAGAAAGCAGTGAAATACATGACAAGTGTTCTCAACAAAAATAGGTAACACTGATAAACTTTTGGCAAGCCTAATCAAGAAAAAAGAATATGGCACAAAAAAACTTATGATACCATAACCAACAGGGGGGTTGCTTTAGGTATCAAAGGGACCCTAAGAGCATATTAAGAATAAACTTCAAATAAATAAATCTGAAATTTTGAATGAAATGAACAATTTCTAAAGCAAAAAAAAAAAAACCCACTAGATACTGATACAAAAAGGTAATGGGAAATCTTAATAATATAGTAATTATTAAAGAAATTCAATCCATAATTAAAATATTTTCTACAAATAAATTTCAAGACCAAATATCTTCTTTGGTCAATTATCCACATGGTTAGTAGTAAGAGTCTGTGAGACTCTATCTATTTCAATGTACATGTATATCCAAGTTACTAATAATACCCTTGCCCTAGATGTATAAAGGGAAATTATGAGAATTGGATATCCTACAAAACAACTAAAACTAAATTTCATAATATGGACACTAAACTAGGCATTGGTGAACCTGAGTCACAATCTTGGCTCTTTGTGGCCACAGGAAAGTCACTTAACCTCTCTGAGTTTTATTTTCCTCATTTACAGAGTATAGACACAATACTGGGGAACTCTGAGGTACCTCCATTTATATAACTCTGCTGATGGCTCAAAATAAATTTAGCAAAAGTACTCAGGGCATTTCCCATTTAACTTTGTAGCTTTTCCCACTGCCTAGGAAAAGTGTTTGCTCTGATATTTAGCATCCAAATATTTTGAGGTGGTCAGGGATAGTCTATTCAACTTTTGTTGTTTCAATGATGTGTCATCACAGAAGTCGCACTACTAGGTGAACATTCATGCCTATGTATGTGCATGCAGCCATGCGCTGATATTAAGCACCAGCACAGAGAGCACAGGTCACTCTTGAACTCCTGTGTTTTTTATCACAATTTAATAGAAGGTAAAAGAGCTTCACACATGTACAAATATATCACAATGAACCTCACTATTAAGTATAATTATCATATAATAATTTTTTTAAAAAAAAGGAAGGGTGGGGACATAGATCAGTGGTAGAATCCCCAGTGCTACCAAAGAAAAAAAAAGTTTTATAAAATTTCAATGATAGTGAAGCCATTGCAGCAACCATACACTAACTGGATATACTAAACCAGGCATTACATGTCCATATTTCCTTAGCTGAATGGAGTGAACAAGCAGTGGTTCACTGTGTGAGTTTCACATGGTTGGCTCAAAAGCAACATATGACAAAACAACTCAAGTTTCTAAAAGGTCAAAAACAATGGTTGAGTCCATACCAATGAACTGAGCTAGCTTACCTTGACAAAAGGTGTTGTTAACCCGCTTATAACCTTGTAGGCATTCCATCATTTGATTATATCCATGATAGGCTGTAAGGGAAGAAACAATTCTGTTACATGCTTAGTTTCAATTCTATGACCCCCAAACTTCTAGAGGTGGTAATGAAAGTCATTCAGGACATCAGTGGACTTATTTATTCATCAGAAAGATACCAATACCAACACCAGTGCAGAGTCCATGATTGCTTTCATTCACATGATGCTTGTTTTTCAGTTTAGTTCATATTTTGTGACAGGTAGAATTGTCAGTAACTGATTATATTAACTGAAAGAATCACATGAACATTTTCTATTTCCTTCCAAGAGGTTATTAAATATTTCTATCACCAATTATCTATTCCTCCCCAGTGCTTAACTTCAGGGAGCAAGAGGTTACAAGAGGAGAGACATTGTCATGTGGAAATCGCCACTTCCAGCCACTTGGCCTTATGCCTAGTCTGGTCCCATAGAATGAAGACATTGGAATAGGCTGCCTACAGAGATGGTGGACAATCTCTGGCCTGTGAATTCTTCAAAGACAAAAGAGAAAACAACTTGCTTTAGAAGTTTCTACAGCAATCTACTTCAAGGCAGAGAGCCAGACCAGATGATCTCTAAAAGTGCTCTTCAGCTTAGGATTCTAAGTTAATTTTGTTCTAAAAGTGTTAAAAGGACAAGTGACTTGTTTACACAAAGCACATTTCTAATAGACTACGGACTAGTTAATGAAATCATTTGCAGATTTAAAATTAAGTTTTCACAGCTAAAAAAAAAATGATGAACAATGAAAGATCTTTCTGTTTGTGGCTAAACAAAAACTTCAAGTATTAAATAAAAGCCACTTGAAAACTGAAGTTTGAATTACTTTGAATGAAAAAAAAAAGGCATGGAACACCAAAGTGTAGCATCTAAAGCCAAGGAAATTCTGATCTCTTCCAAAATGAATATGATTTAAGAGACTAGAACCAACCGGGGGAAGGAAAGTTTTTTAAATGACACAGGAAGAATGTGACCCTGAGTGTGTTTCTTGGGAGTGAGTCACTCAAGATGGTGCAAACAGAATAAAAGTCAAGATGTTAATAATTTACTTCATTCATAATCCACACTAGCCTTCCGGCTGAAACCAGTCTCTTCAACTTTATACATTAAATGACCCAACATATGAATTTATTTTCATCAACATTCAGTTAAAAGTAACAGAAACCTCATACTTTCACACACAACTCAAATCATTATCTAGATTAAGAATGAGAGCTAACAAAACCATATAAAGTGGCAAATTCATTCCTAGATTATGCAATCGTAGATAAGTATGACAAAGGGTCAGGAATGGAAGTTAAATAATAAAAAGAAAAAAAAAGGCTTTATCCTTAATGTCTGCCACTCTCTGCTGCTTTAGGATTTAGAAAAGGGAGGAAAGAGAAGCAGATAAGCCATAAATACTCAAAGATGAATGAAAAATAAATAAAAAAGAAAAAGAAGAGAGAAGATAGAGAACATGCTAAATAATGAAAACTTGGCACCCTCCCCCACAATAGTTAGAAGAACTTGTCTCATCCTCAGTCCTTAGACCTGACAGCAGGAAACATGTCACCTTCCACAATATTGTGACAACACACATGGTAAATGAAGGGTAGGTGACGATGCTTTTTTTGACATTTTAGATATAGACTACAGTTTAATGGTCCATAAGAATCAACAGCAAATGATAGGACATCCTTACCATAGGTACACGTATGACTGACTGCACGTATGGTGTGACACTACATCATGTACAACCAGAGAAATGAAAAGCTGTGCTTCAGTTGTGTACAATGAATCAAAATGCATTCTGCTGTCATATATACTTAATTAGAATAAATAAATAAATAAATTTTAAAAATCGCAAATGACAGAGCTGGGAGTTAAATTCATTCTAGCCCTAAGCACTCTGCTCTTTAAATCCTTCCAGATAAATCCTAGAGATCCCTTTGGTCAAACTGTCAAAATAATTCTAAGCAAATAGATTGTCCAGTGAGGAGAGACCATCACCATCCAACATACTCCTAAAAATCCATGCTGTGAATCATCACCCAGTCCATGTGAAAAGTCTTCTTGGAAAATTCTCTCACTATGGAATATTCTTATTATGAGATATCTCCCTCAATGATGAACTCATTAAGTTTCAGGAGCTACATCAGGCATTTCCACAAGTTAATCCTCTTCAGGAGCTGAGAGCAGTATCGAGAAAATAAGTGAAATTAGCTTTAGGCATTTAGAGGACTTGTAAGTTTGAGAGGTAAGGAAATCCGAGTGAGAGACAATTATTTCAAACAAATTAGTATGCTGGAGAAACAAATAGTACCTAAGAAAGAGATATACAGAAATAATTCCAAGATGGCAGCCTTGAGATTGAACATAGATTCAAAAGGCAGCTGAGAATAGGGATCCAATCAACAGATAATTAAGAAAAGGAAATAAAAATTGTCCAGTTGAAGCAAATGAGAAATTGCTTACAGCATGAAGAATAAAAAGCAATTATAAAACTATTAAGCTACATGAGGCAAAGGAGATGACAGAAAAATGTGACTTGTTCTCTTAGCAAAAACATAACGAGGAAATGTAAGAAAGTTCAGCTTAAAACAAGTCACTTGTCCAAAAGGTATTCCTTAGAAACCAGTGATCCAGAGTTAACACCTCATTCAAAAACTTAAAAATATGAACTACTGTTGAGAAGAGAGGAATGGGAAGGTGTAACCTGAGTTTATTCAAATCAACAGTTTCTGCAAAGGTCTGTATTTTTCTAAAATATTTTTTATTTGTAAATGGACACAATACCTTTATTTTATTCATTTATATGTGGTTCTGAGGATTGAACCCAGTGCCTCATACATGTTGGGCAAGCGCTGTATCACTGATTTACAACCCCAGCCCCTCCAAAGCTCTTTAAAGACAACTCAAAGCATGAAGGTGTTGTTATATATTGATGCTACTAAGCATTGTGGCAGTATAAAGTTAGTTCTATGAAAAAGGGAAAGTATTGTGTCCCAGCAAAGAAAACTTTCTTTTCTTTTTTGATAAACCAATTGGCAACCAATCATTTCCTCATTTTAGTCTCTCTTTTAAAGAAAATTAAAATTCTATCACAGATACTATAGCATGAGTTGTGAATAGTAATAAAAGTTTCATTTGAAGAATTTAATTTCAGAAATAATAACTGTACTTATTTTCCATTCCAAAAGGCGTCTTATGTTCCCCCTCCCAGAGATAAGGAAGCCCATTTTAGCTTATCGCCTCCTAGAAGACTTTTTTCCCCATCAGAATCCAACAGGAGAAGGCAACTGCTAACTGTGCTCATAAAAAAAAAAAAAAAAAAACAGAGCTAATAAGAAAACTCTGCATACAGACATGCAAGGCTTCTGGGAGTATATAGCATAATCCTGTGTTCTAGAATACAGCAAGAGTTCTCTAAATGTCTAATATTGTCTCATCATTAAAAGAGCAGTCACAAGAAAACAGGTATGCTCCCTTCATCTACAAAGGAATGATGAAACGTCACTCACATGGCTTCTTGGGACATTTCTGGCATTTGTTAAAGCCCCAGGAGGTACCCACGGTTCCACAGCAGTCCTCTTGCTTTGAAAGGCCAGGGAGAGCTTTGCCACACTGCAATGATGAGGTGTGAAATATGAAGGTTAATTGAGAGCAGGATGCTCAGCTCAGGAGCACTGCTGTGCTTCACAGTCACGTCATAAAACGGTTCCCTTGTTATCAACACAATTAGGGAGGAAAAGAACAACTATAAAACTAAAACAAAATACCAGGACCAGAACCAATGCAACCCGAAAGTGAATGAGCACATGTCCAAAAAGGAGCACCTTGGCATTTTTAAAGTTTTTTGAAAATCTCTCACTGCTCAGAGCACTTTATAAAACTTAAGTTTCCAGTGTCTTTTTTTTTTTCATAAAAATAAATTTATAATTGAAAAAAATCATTATAAACCTTTTTATTTGTTTGTTTATTTATTTATTTGTTCATTCAATGCTGGGGATTGAACCCAGGGCTGTGGATATGCTGCCAACTGCTCCACCACCCCAGCCATGTTTTCTTTTCT